GACAGTACGACTTTGCTCAGTTTTGCCCCCAATTTTGAAGAAGAGCACCCTGTGGAGGATGAGTCCGAGTGTCCCCATCCATCTTCCCCTACAACAACCTCTCTAGAGGACTTTTGGCTCGCTACATATTTAGAGTGCCCACCATGCCGCGCAGACACTGTACATTTACAAACACCCATGCCTTGTCCACGATTCGAACAGGGTATACCATCGGCTTCCGCACTATACCATCTGGGCGGCTTAATTTAATGTAACAATACAATACAGTGGGTACAAAAAGTATTTGCACACATATTTTTGTTCACAATTTATAAGAAAACGCGTTAAGAAATACAAAAATTGGCATTTAAAAAATAGAATAAGCTTATTCATTTAAATTAATTACAAAAAATACAATAATATTAATAAAAAACATTTTTTGCAACAATATTAAAATAGCTTATGTCAAAAAAGTATTTGCACACTCAACTCAACTTTAGCAAATTTGCATTTTTATGCTATTATTTGACAGTCATCCCGCAGTAAATAACATACGTAAGACGACTATAAAAGGAGGTGTCGAAACGTTATCAGTTGATTATCGTTTTCAAATTGTAATGGCCCCTAAGAAATCTGAATTGCCAATTTCGTAGCGAGAAAAAATTGTTTCTCTACGTGAAAATGGCCTAAGTTATCAAAAAATAGGTAAAAAAGTAAATGTTTGCTTCTCTACTGTTCGGTATATTATAAAGCGTCATAAAGAAAGAGGATCTACATCAAATAACTTGCGCTCTGAACGCCCAAAGAAACTTTCACTGCCAATAAAGCGAAAAATCATAAGAGAAGCATCGAAAAATCCATTTGTTAGTGCAATTACTTTAGCCAATGATGTTGCTTCAGCATCTGGAGTTCAAATCTTTGCCCAAAGTGTTCGAAATGCCCTGAACGATGCACACATTTATGGGAGATCTCCAAGGAAAAAACCTCTCATAACTGAACGAAATAGACTGAAGAGACTTGAATTCGCTAAGGAATATATCAATATGCCAATTGATTTCTGGAAAAATGTCATATTCTCCGACGAGAGTAAGTTCAATATCTTTAAATCAGATGGCAGGAAATTAGTTTGGAGAAAACCTTGTACTGCTTTTCATACCAAAAATGTGTTACCTACAGTTAAACATGGAGGAGGTTCTGTTATGATTTCGGGGTGCATGGCTAGCAAAGGAGTTGGTAATTTGTGTTTCATTGATGGGAATATGACAGCTCGAACCTGTATTGATGTGTTGCGAGATAACTTGCCACAAAGTGCAATAAAATTGGGTATCAGTAATTCGTACTATTTTCAGCAAGACAACGATCCCAAGCAAACCTGCCGGTATAACACGTATGTGGTTGCTTTATAATGTAACCAGAAAACTTGCCACTCCACCCACAATCACCAGACTTAAACTCCTTTGGAAAATTTGTGGAATTCTTTGGATTTAAAAATAAGTAAAAAGGAAGATTTCAAGCAAATCTGCCCTTAAACAAGCCCTTATTGAAGAATGGTCGAATCCTGACCCTACTGTTACAGAAAATTTAATTAAATTCAATGCCAGCAAAGATTACAAGCAGTAATAGATGCTAAAGGATGCATACTAAATATTAGTTATTTGAAATTTGCTATATATTTTATTTCTTTTGTATTCATGCAGGTGTGCAATACTTTTTTGATACGAGATATTTTAATTTGTTACAAAAAAGCATTGTTGTTATATTATTTGTAATTTTTCTGTTTGTTTGGATGATTAAACTTATTCTGATTTGGCAATACAATTTTTTATTTCTCAATGCTTCTTTTTATGAATTGCAAACAAACATGTAGTTTTTTACGTTTTTTACCCACAGTATATATTTGAGCTGATGGCTTAGATGAACTTAGGTTCTTAATGCAGAACTTTATTCCTCTTAACTTTCAAGCATTACCAGTGTATTACAGTAACTATTGTTATTTATTACAGCTGATTATTGTTTAGCTATATGAATATTTGACATTGGGTATCAACCACAGCCAGGACAAGGATGAGGCAAGTGAAGCACCTGCCTCAGGCGAACAACTAGAAGAGGCGCTAAATTAGCTATGGAATGATAAAAACTCATTTTAAAAATAAGAATTATAATTATTAACTTTGAAACACATTAAACGTAGAATTTCAAAACATATTTAATATAACAAAACTTTGTTGGCACTAATTTTGATAATTTAAAAGCACTACATCCTTGACAGCGCTTTCATTGGCCTCCTCAATGGCAGGCAGTAGCAATTGTATGCGTCGGCCACCACTAAGGCCATCAACGGTGGTCACTTTATTTTGGAGGCACTTAATATGTTGCCTCCTATGAAGGTAGAGACAATTTAGATCCATGTTTTCTCCTGCATTTATATCCGAGCCCTTCGGTACGGCAGTCACTAACCACTTTCCCATTTTTCTTTTATTGTCCGTGCTTTATATTGTTTGGCTTTTTGGTTCCCATTATTAATAGTTCGTAGCTATCTTTCCGATCAGGATGGCTTCTTTGGATTTACGTTTGTCACACCTTAGTGTGAACGTAATATGCAGCAATTTTATTTAAATATGAATTAACTGATTTATTTTATAATACATTTCTGCAATCAATATTTTCTAACGCATACTTTTCAGCTCATGGTTTTACAAACTCCAAGAATCTCCCCTTAGGCAGATAGCCCTAGTGTGCTTTGCCATAATTAAATACACCACACCACCAAACTCCAAGAAAGAAGTTAAGAAATATTTTTTTTTATATATATATATATTTTTTTACTATAAATAATTCAGTTGAATTAACAAAATTACTCATGACAATAATTTATTCTTAGAAGACCAGCGATTTCATAAAAGTGTACATACAGCTTTTAAACTTTGTCGTTGGAACTAGCGTTTGACATTGATTTACATGTATGGTAATGGAAATGCACACATCGAGCTTGACCAGAAAACACCTTGCCGCCAGTAAGTGATTTTCTACTGTCTCCCATAAGCTTAAATTGTAATTTAAACTGCAGTTTCCACTCTAAGAAATCCCATTTGAGTTTAGATTGGTTAAGTTTCGCCATATTTCGGCAAGCTTTCCAAACTGAACTTGGAACCAAACGAACGAATTGAAAACAAAAGAACTGAACTTGGAATAAGAAGCTGCTGTTGTCTGAAAATGAAACATACCATTTTACCAGATTCTTGCTCCATATATTTAGCATCTTACTCTTCCATTTTTGTCTACGAAGTTTGCATTAAATTAGATGTATAGCTCGATTTTCTTTTGCCTATTATATCTATATTTAAATCCTCTCAGAACTGCACAGTTGATTTCATTTACTGTTGCCACAATTACCACCAAATGGTTAAGCGAATACATACCTCAATTTAATATTTACAAGATTGGATTGTAAAGAGCTAAGTAAAGTATACATCTTTTCTTGAGTTTTCCTGTATTGCTTAATATCAAAGAAAAAAGGGTTTAGTATTTTGAATTTTGTTGTGAAGGAAGTAACATAAAACGTTCCGGATAATTTAAGATAATTGATATTATTAGAGAACCCAGAACACTAACTTTTGTCAATACTGGACAGTTTTTCCTCTCCCCCCCAAAAAAAATTAATACCCCTAATATCGTAAATATTAGTAGTAATAGGCATTGTTGTGAAGAGGTAACTGTACTAAAAATTAAAATAAGAATTTTTCTTTATAAACGTTTTTGTCAAAACAGAACTTTAAAAATTTATTTTTAAAGTTATCAAAAAAGGTCAGTATTACCCTACAATAACTAAGGTTCTTATGAAATAATTGTAATCAAAGACTTATTTGTTCCACCATTGACCGCTAAAAACTGACAATTCAAACACGATTCACATTCTGGCAAATGTGTGGGTGAATGAACATTTTCTTGAATTTTTTCCATTTAACGTGAATACGAACCAAATTTTCCTTAGAAGTTCCTCTACGAAAACATGCCTTCCATTAGGTAAATAACCTTGGCATGCTTTGCCATACTAAAACAAATATAATAGAATGATTACTGCATTCCTTACAGAAAGTAAGAGAAAATATTTTTGAGATATGGGAAAATTTAGCTTTAAGATCAATACATCTGCAGCATTTGAAAAGAATTAAAAAAGTAGTGAATAAGACTGTCAATAATCAATTGATAAAATTATTTTTTTAAAAAATACTTTTTGTAGCAGAATTAAAAGAAGTGACAGTTATTTTAATCTTGCAGTTTAAATGCAGATCTGAAGAACTAAACTAGTTAGCTTTCAGTTCTTAAATTGTAAATGATTTAAATTAAATGATATTGGATTTAAATGTTTGAAAAAATAAAACATCTTATACTTCAACACTTAAATATGCAAGTGCTTCAACTTCATAAATATCTAGTTTTAAAAACTACGCTGTTGCAATAATTTTAGTCACTAAAATAAATAAATTAGACTTTTTCTGCGATTCAAAACTACAGAATAGTTGAAACGTGTGTAAATTCAAAAATTGCGTTAATAACAGTTTTAAACTTATCATTTTTTATTATTATTAGGGTGAAATAATCTTCAGCAAACCTTAACTAATAAAAAATATGCAAAATCTTGCCTAGGTTTAAAAAAAAACTTTCTATCACGACTTTTTTTTTTTTGAACCGAAATTAAGTAATAACATAATTGTTGACTTTGCTTCGTTAAAAGCAAGAAAAATTAAATTATAAGCATTTAAAAAGCTTCACTATTTAATTATTATACATATTGCTCTTCTAAATTCATAAAGCTACAATAAACTACTAAAGTGTAATTATGTTATAAGAATTATGATATCTTAATTTAAGATAGTTGTTTTTGTTTATTAGAAAATGTACAAATATAGCTAGTTAAATGGCATATAGAGAGGCGTATTTACCTAATTGTCTCTAGTGAAAAAATATCTAGGCACGACACTAGAGTTTCAGCGAAAACGCATAGAAACAAATTTACTTACATTCTTGCGCCTTTCATACTGGATACTGTCAAGTATCTCTGGACCATTGGCTGACTGACTCCGTAAATGGATAACCAAGTAAAAAAACCACCAATTGTTAAACTCCAAACAGTATGCCGAACAGTAGGGTCGAAATCAAAGCTGCGAAACGAAATATTAATATTATGATATCTGATACAAAAATACCTATTACTAATTTATCATACAATAATTAATTTTAGATATTATATCAATTAAACATTTTGAATAAAATTTCTTCTAACCGCTTTATCAGAAATTTTATTTGCGGACCTTTTGCGTTATAAGTGAGCAAGAGCCAAACAATTTTCAACAGAAAGATATATGCGCCAACATTGCCTATGGGCCACCATAAGATTAAACATTTTTGTCTCTTCCAACAATGCTCTTGTTTTCAAAGTAAGTGTTGTCAATGAAAATGTTTGAAAATATATCGTTCTATTTTGTTCTTTTATTTTTATTGAAATAACTGACTTAAGAGATATAATATAACTCTTATGTTTAGAAATTCAGTCTAAATAAGCTGATGACGAAAGCGTGTTTACTCGTTTAAAGTTGAATAATGCATATTCCTTTCTAGAATTATAGAATTACCGTAACTACTTTAGCAGAACTTGCCAAATTCTCAAATCGCGCCAAACCCTGACAATTTTGCACATAATAATTTTTCGGGCAACCATGAATGAACATTTGATAATACCTTTGCCAGCAGCATAGCCATTCTCATGTGCTAAGTTCTCCCTCTTTTGATAGATAAATCGTAATATTATTTTGTCCTAAACTAAATTTTACCTTCTACCTTCAGTGGAAGAAACTGAAATAAAATTTCTGCAGTAATGCAGTATTTTGCTGCAAAATCACTAAAGGGAAGTATTATTTTCGATCAGTTTTTAAGTGATCATCTCCAAATTTTGATCAGGACAAAAGGAAAAAAAACCGCTTGTAAACAAGTTTACTGATTGATTTTGGGGATAAATATCTAATTAAAATATAAAACATAAAGGTAATATCAGATATATAAGTAAAATAACTTTTTGCAATTGTAAGTCGTCCTCTAAAAGTCCCCATACTGTGCCAGGGTGGTTACGTACCAAAAATTGTTTGTCGCGTGTTATTCTATAATGGGAAAGGTCCCAAATGGCTTATTTTCTTAACTTCATATATTCGAACTAGAAGCGATACATTAATTATTTATTAAATTAAACTAATAAGATGAAATATATTACTTACTTGAAAAACTCGATCCTTTGCCCTTCTCTATTCAAATTCCATATGTAACTCATACCTCCTAAATCCATTGATCCCTTAATGACAACAACAAGCATTGCTCCAAAAATGACAAAAACTTGGAATAAGTCTGTTAAAACAACGGCTTTCATTCCTCCCTAAAACGAAACAAATTTCATATAAATGTAACTTCTCAATCAAGGGAGGGCGTCAGCTTATTCATGTAAAATTGTGTAATTTACAACGGTACGGAGAGTTTTGGTTTGGGTTGGTTTATTTAATTATGGTAAAGCATTCGATGGCCATCTGCCTAAGGGAAGGAATGCCTTCATGGAGGATTTTCTAAGAGAAACTGGCTTTTTTGCACGTTACGCATGGGGAGAACTGTGAAACACCCATGAAGTCATCCCGTTCGCCGGGGTTCGAACCTCGGACAAACTACTAGTGTTCAGCTATTTTACCGCTCGACCGCTAGTGTACGTAACAGTACAGAGAGAGAAGTCTTTTAAAAATTTATTGTCTTGGAAAGTTAAGATAATATTTCAACATATCAAATAATAATATAAAATTCGTAACACAAGCTTTTGCTAGTAACTTTCCTTAACGCTGGATATCAGTTTATATCAGTTTCAGTAAATTATGAGAAAGTTGCAAGAATATAGTTACAGAAGAAAATTTTCTTTTGAAAAACTAATATAGAGGCCATTGTCTCTGTGTCTGCCATTCAAAGATAATGCCACAGAAGTGATACATTAAAAGATATTCCACATCCGAATATTCACACATCTGAGTTAAGCCCTGCATTCGAATATGCATACTACTTCTTCATCAGTTTCTTACAGCTAACTGAAAATTAATTCACTCAATTTAAAAAAATCTAATGTTTGACGATACTTACTTTCCTGTGCCTCATTCGCCAGATACAAATGGTATTCTTTGCGGTGTTTCTTCGGATCCTATGCGCGTTATCCATTCTGAATATTTCGTCTCTTCTGCGGAATCACTATCTTTATCACCGCTTTCCTCTATACATATAGACGTAATTTCGTTCTTCATCAACGAAAAATCAAAGTAGTCTTCACTTGAACTGATTCCTTCATCATATTACAATTAGATTCCTGGGTTCCGTAACTTTGAAAATAATATTTCAATTGTAACGATTGTCGAGTTCGAACTAACGTCAAAGACACATACATAAAAATAAATCTAAAAAATGTGTTTAAAATTAAAGACTGCCAGTTGTTTTGTAAACATACATTGTTGAATACACTCATGACCACTAGAATTTTCACGTCAAACCTTATGATGGTTGAGAGTCAGCTCTCGAGTGCGAAGGGCTAAAGTAATCGGGAAAATATGGCAGACAGAAACTCTACAGAAGGTAAACATATTTCCTATGGAATTTTATAATTTTTCTTCTTAATTGAATCCTGGCGATAATATACTGTCATTGAATAATCAGGGCCTTAGGAATAATGCTACATGTAATTTAAATATACTTTCAAGTTAAACTATTTTGAGCTTCTTCTCTTCACTATGGTGAAACTAAGACTGAATAAATTTGATTTATATAATTTTACTTCATCAACAATATAATTAATTACTTGAAAAGGACATTAAAATGTTGTTATAGACGCAAGGAAAGCATTCTTAGCTCAAAGTTATATTTGAATTTCCTTTGTCCTCCGATGTATGATTTAACCGTAACTATTAAATTACAGTATATACGAATAACTGTAATTTCTTTTCCGCCTCTGATGTGATACAGCAAAAATGCTTTAAGCTTCTTAAGGGGGCTGTATACCTTCGAACACTTTTTTTTTTAATTTTTAAGATTGTGCATTTAATTTTGGCTCTAAAGTAATTAATGATGAAAAAAATGAAGAAGCTGAGTTATTTAATGACCATTAATTTTGTATTTTTGGAGTAAAGTAAGAAAACAAGCAAAAAAAAAAAAAAAAAAAACAGCAATGTTTACATTAAATTAGAAACACTGTGTTAAAAAAATATAATATATTTTCACATTTTGTAAAATGCAAACTGATCATAATGATATTCTCAAGGAGGTAGGTAGACTATTATTTTAAAGCTAGGAAGTTATTTAAAAATGTTTTAAGCTAGAATGTGTAATATAACAAAGAAGCATAATTTCTCATTAAAATGCATGTTTAACGCATAATAACTTTATAAAAAATGCATTTATCAATTATTAAATAATCTGCCTCCTTACTTGAAGTGTTCTAAACATGTATACCAAATTGCATAAGATTTCAATGATAATTTTTAAAGATATTATGTTTCTTGTTAGCATTAAAACACGAAAAATGAACCGAGGTAAACGTATTTAAAGAATTCAAACACTCGATTATCTACTTTTAATCAGCTTGTAAACTTAAAATTCCACTCATTTATAACTAATGCCCTCTTGTTTTTCAGAATTTACATTTTTTTGCTTTCTCGCAGCTTTTAAAATTTTTTTCTGCTTTTTAAAGCCAAATCAGGGATTGTTGTTTTGCATGGTCGATATGGTTAACATCAAACCTTTCATACTCGTTTGTAGTGTAGTAACCAATATCTATACCTATAAAAATTAATGAATATTACTCAGTAATAAATAAAAATAGCAATCCTATAAAAATTAATGAATATTACTCAGTAATAAATAAAAATAAATCAGCAATGTAAATACAGAATCAAAACACAAGCGAAAGTGAGTTAGTGAACACACAGCTTGAAAATATGCTAGAACTTTGTTTAGTTGCTATCATAGAAATACTTTTTGGCCTTTAAAAATGCAATTAAATAAAATTTTAAGCCCTGAAAATAAAAGTAAACAACTCTGACACATTCACTTCGGCCTTTTTAATATTTACGTCTTGTGCACTTCCGGTATGCTTTTCGAGGACAAGGTATCAAATAAAGTATCATAACTCCGATTTAAATTAACATAGGAACAAAATTCAAACGGTTTTGGAAACATAAGAGATAATACTTTCATCGAGAGTAAGAACAAAAAAAGGGAGTTTTTTGACCAAAATCTCGGTTTCTAAGGTATACAGCCCCCTTATGAAAGTCACTAAATACTTATTTGGCTTTTAATCCGTCATTGCCGCTAAGCTATATATGATGATTATATTTTACGTCTAATGAATAGAATAACAGTAGAATAGTTTACAATTGCGGAGTGAAAAAAAGCAGAGTGTTAATTATTTTTAAATAAATGCCTGATGTATGCTTCATTATTCAGTTTCTTTAGAAATTTCGGCACTTACATACTATCTTGAGACCGCGAAACTGACGCCAAGGAGCGCCGATTATGGATATGCGTAACGTCACAAAACACTCAGCAGCTGAGCTTCAGTTTAATATAACCTGGATTGATTCTCAGTAAGCCAGCAACCTTTTGTTTTTATGAACAAGGATATAAATTAACTGTTATTGCTGTACTTTTTCCTTGCGTTTTGAAACAAAATGAATTCGAGGGAGATAAAATCACATTTGTGACCGAACTCTGGTTTATTTACAGCTGGTCGAATGAATTAACATGTATTGAAAAGGGAAACGAAACAGATGTGCCCTAAAAAAACAATAATGGATTGGAACTTGGGGGAAGTTTGTTCTTATAGGGCTTTAAACAGAACTTTCGGTAAAATCGGAGCTCAGAAGAAAATAACAGAAATCTACGAAAGCCCTTTTACGAAACCCCAAAACTAAAAAGCAGGTCCAATACTTCCACAGAGGTAGCTGTTTGGTAGTTTGTGCAGAGAGAGCGTGATGACGTTTTATTCTAAGAGCTGCAAACATAAGTGCGGCTTAAAAGTCTACATGAACGATTGGTACAATTTTGGTGGGATCTCTACCAACTTCCCTAGTTTGATGGTAGCCAACTTTCACGGTCTTTATTTAATTACGGCAAAGCACATTAGGGCTATCTGCCTAAGGGGAGGGATGCATTCGTGGAGGACTTTCTAAGGGAAATTGGCTCGTATATACGTTACACATGGGGAAAACCACATAAACGCCCATGCAGCCATCCCGTTCGCGGGATTCGAACCTCGGACCGAACTATCAGTGTTCAGTGACAACGTTCACGGTCGACGTGCAAAGTATTGATATGTTTCATCAAGATGTTAGTGGTTCGTAGATTTTTATTTCAGATCTTCAGTGTTATTTTCAATAGATCTTCAGAACTCTTTTAGCAGTAAGAAATGGCAATCCTCACCTATCACTGTTGCTTTCATTGAAAATAAAATTAGCATCTCATTGTAATGAGAAAATATTAACAAAGATGCCACTGAAAAAGGAAAGAAATTTGTCTTGATTATATAGACATTAGCAAACTCGATACTTATCAACGTAGCAAAATTGATTTTTCATAGAGTGAAAGTTAAAAGTCTATCCAAAAGGATATCATAAGATCTGAATGCTTGTAATAATTTATTAATCTCATAAGACAAAATTTTGCCCTCAAATTCATTTAAATGCAACAGATTTTTTCAAAACAAGTTCAATTTCAAAATGTCTTTACACAGTGATTCTAGAAACATTCTAGAATGCGAACAATAATTATCCTACTCCAAAAAATTTAATGATTAGCCCTTTTAAATGCAAAGTGTAAAATTTTAATAATAATTCAAAATCATGACACATGGTCTAACAATATAATAAAAAGCTAAACTTACTATAGTAGTATAAAAAGTGCAAACAATGCCTATAGATAGAACGCAAAACCAAACTTTTAGTCCAGTCACTGTAAGGAAAAGGTTTAAGAACAATTATTTTAGTATGGAACAAGAAGATTTAAATTTAAAGTACGTTTTCAGAATTTATTTTGTATATTATACAAATAAATATTAATAATTTTAATAATGTATGTATTTAATAATAATGTATGTAATTTCTATGTATAATATTATAAGTATAATATTATACATAATATTATACATAGAAAACCAAATATTTAATAAATTTAAAGTGCACAATGGAAGTTAAAAAATAAATGTCCCTATTATTAAGATTTCAATTTAAAATTTCTTTCTTATCAACGCAGCAATGTAGATGATGTAATTGAATTTCATTACCTCGTTATAAATCTGCACAAACTATTAATTTTTTTCTTATTATTTAAACAAAAGTACTTTATTTCATATATGTCCAAATATTTCAACGACCTTACGCTTTAAATGCCGTAAGAATTTCCTTTTGTCTTTTAAATATTTGGTAGCATAGATTAAATTAAACTTGATCGATATTAAGGGAGATCCGACATAGGTCTCTGTTCCTTAGGTGTGGTGTATTCAGTTATGGCAAAGCACACTAGGGCTATCTGCCTAAGGGGAGGGATGCCTTTCGTGGAGGACTTTCTAAGGGAAACTGGCTCGTATACACGTTACACATGGGGAAAACCACGAAAACGCCCATGCAGCCAGCCCGTTCGCGGGATTCGAACCTCGGACCGAACTACCAGTGTTCAGCGACTTTACCGCTCGGCCGCTGGTGGGCCCCTCTGTTCCTTAGGAGTAAAACCTTACTATTGAAACAGAGATAGAGATAGAGAGAGCTATGTTTGATTGCTCTAGAAATCAATAGAGTTTCATTTGAAGTGAAATCTATAGTTCCTTTTGAATAGAATTCCAACAATGTCATGGTTTTGGAAGCATTAAATATAACATTATGAGCTTTGAAAGTAATTACCTTCAAAAAAAGCTATGAAACGTTGTCAGAAGATTTAGCCTTTATTCTTTTTTAATTCATCTGAAGGTTTTACAAAATGTATAAAATTGCTATTTCTCATAAAAGAATTGGACTTGCAATTCATACTTCTGAGATTTTTATACCATGAAATTCTACCGTTGTAAAAAGAACAGAATTGGTTTATTTAGTTACGAGAAAGGCATACAAGGGATATTTTCTTAAGCTATATCTCAGTTTTGAGTAGGAGTACCCAAAAGGACAAAATACGAGAGTTCTGAAAGTTTCAGTTGAATATTTTTTAACCAAAATGTAATCTTTGCATAGTCAATTTGAGTACAGTTTCCAACAGTATCGCAATATAAATCGGGATGCCTGAATAAAAGAAAGGCTGAATAATTAATTATAGTCCTTATGATACGCTCGTTGCTACAACATTAAAGAAAAGAAAAATAATTATCAAAAAAAAATTCAAGTTCTGGATTACTGCTGTCCTTACCGAAAACTGACCAAACCATTAAAAACAAACAAACAAACAACAGATAAATGCACCCTACATTTTGTAGCAAAATAATTATAACTAAACAAATTTCAAGAGTAATAAATTAATTTCGTATGTAAACTAGTTACATTAGAATATATATTTCTAGAAACGAGAAAATATTTCATTAAATGTGAAGCACTTAAGGAAAAAGCTCAAATATTATTTATTTTTTTAAAAATAAATGAGCAACAAAAAATGCCTCAGGACAATCAACAGTTGGGTAAAATGCTTTTGCCACTAAAAATAAATAAATTGTCAATGAAGAAGCAATTTTTCATCGCAAGTTATGTATAAAAACTGTTAAAAGTAAATTTAGCGATCTGCTGTGAATAAAATTATAAAACCATTAACATACCTTGAGAAAGAGCAAGCGAAGGAGCATACATTACAATGGCCATGTATAAAACCTGAAAGAAATAAAAATGCAGATTAAATTTTTAAAGCTTACTAAGCTGTCAAAAGAAATTGTTTTAAAAAACAAAAAATCGGATTGTTCAACTTTTTTTGCTTAAAATGGATTTTAATAATTTAAAAGGGGTTTTGTACAAATGACATTTTTAAAATATTTAAAACGATTGTAAATTAATATACGCGTATCTTTAATTCTCACTTTTACTTTTAAAGTTATACTATATATTAAAGTATGTACACTTTTGCGACGTATGTTTGTTCATGTCAATAGCGTCTTAAAAGAATGTAGTAATTCTCATCATTTGTTTCGAAAGTATTAACCTGTCAAATACTCAAGCTCTTTCATACGAATAAATGTGCTTAAGAAAAACACATGAATACAATTTTTCTTTTCAACCCTTATTTATCACATACATTTCTTGAATGCTTTGAACTTGAGTTTAGAAACTTACTGATTATTGCTAACTGTGAGATCTGGCAGGACACAAAACAATAAACGAATTATGATGCTAAGAGTCAATTTCGTAATGCAAAGAAAAATGAATTTGTTGGGCAATGTGCAGCAAAACTAAATTTGCAATATTTGAAGGTAATTTATAAAGCTCGTTAGGCCTTTCAGAACAGAAAATTTGAAAAATCAATCGTACTGTAATCAAACCACGGATTTTCCAGTTACTAGCTGAATGTGTTGAGTTTTATACCAAAAAGGCATGATGCGAATAATAAAAATAATATTATGTATGCTTGTTCTGGGTATCTTCCTGAAAACCGCACTACACGGCTCGCAATTTAAACTCTTCATTTTAGGAAGGAGTCGAAGACTTCCAAAGCTCTCATAGGGAGTTCAGCATAATTCAGTTACACAGCACCTCCGGAGGGGGGAGGGGGGGCTCGAATCCCAGAGGCGCAGATTATAAAAAAAGTTATCTCTATGAGATAAAATGCCAGTAGCTATTTCTAAATTAATAGAACATGTTGGTAGGTCACTGCCTTCTCCGTCTTTGCCAGGCTCTCAAACTGTATAAAATTGCTATTTTTATTATCAAACTGTATAAAATTGCTATTGCTGTTACATTATGCTACTACTTTTGTTATGAAGTGTTCACTGTAGCCATGATGGCTCTAATTCCTTTGGCACTATAGTAATCTGTGAAGAGCGTAAGAGAAAGATTACGGCAGTTGGGTGAGGGGTGTTTGCTCCACAGTTCTGAACAGTAGCATACAGTAAAGAGCGTCAGTTTCTTCTAGGAATGTCACAATGCCTTACAAACTGTATAGCTAAATTATCAATATTCTCCTCTTGTATGTCTTTTGTGGCGTCGGTTTCAGCATATATAGTTACCAAATGGAGAATCTATGAACAAGATGCGAGTAACAGGTTAATGCCGAATCATCACGCTAAAATTTTACTATACGGGATGTTACACAATGATAATTTTTGAATAAACCATAGACAGAATCTTTTTTCGTAAACATTTAGGACTACTGTATTTTATTATGCCTTGTGACTGGGGTATAATGGAAGCTGTTCACTTGACTTGAAAGTCTGGAAATCATTTTATGTCGTTCAGTTTGGCTCTTCTATTAAATTTATTGCAGTTATATCAGAGATAGTTTAAGCTGGAAGCCAAAAATACCCTCAATTTATATTTTTTTATATTCTTTTATATTCTGTCATTATAATAATGGCATTGATTAATTAAGATCGCTACAAATACCGCAAAAAAATTCCGAAGTATATACAGTCTCATAAAATAGCATAATGCACACTAACGTAATGACTCAAGATTCACGAAATGGTGTTGACTATCGAAAAACTGCAAACGTTATCAGATAAGGATTTTTTCACCAAAAATATTCTACGGAATTTTAAAATTATAACTTCATGGGCCAGGTCAGTAAATAGCGGGAACTCGTTATTTTTTTAAAATCAGATGACAAGAAAATACTATGAAGGTAATGTAGAATTCAGCCTAGACTACTCGTTTAATAAATCTACCCATAAGGTCGGGTATTATGAAGTTGCTGATTTACTTCTTTAGAATGTTATCATATTTAATGAAACGTAGTACAGTTGCCGGTTTAGTAACTATACTTTTAGTTTATAGTTACCAGTTTATTGGATATATCTCGAATTTAAAGTGATAATGTTATATTTTAGTCCTTCAGCATTCAGATAGAGTTGGTTTATTTATTTGATTTAATTATAGCAAAGCACTCGAGGACTATTTGCCAAAGAGGAAGAATGCCTTCGTGAAGGATTTTATAAAGAACAAATAGACTCAAGACAATTTTATTTGATAATCTCCGCTTTTGCAGATAAAGGATAAGCAAATCAAAAGAGAAAAGCTTCCAAGAGACCCATCATAAATCATGTTTTGTGCATTTTGTTTCAGAAAAGTCTCAATCCCACGGTTTTGCTAAATTACGTACTATTACGAAGAGAGATTATGGAACTATTTAACAGTTTTAGCGATTACTTGACAAATGCAGTTTTTTAGGGAGGAAAATAAATTTATTCAGAGAAAAAGTACTAAGGCATATGGGCATTAAATTTAGGTACTAAGGCATATGGGCATTAAGTTTTATAATTATCATTTCTGACATAAAAATATTTAATTTTATTTACTGTTATTTTAAGATTTCTCTAAATTTCTCTAGCATAATCTTTCTAAATGTGAATATTATCGACATTTGAACACAAATACATAAAAATGTTCTTCTAAATAACATATTTTATAATACTCCCATGTACAATTTTGTTCCTCTCATATGCGTTAAGAATATACCAGGTTTTTAATTATATTATTTATTATTAGATTCGTTTTCTTTATAAATAAATAATTTTAATCTAATATCTATAAAATTTTCGCATGTCTTCTTATATAATTTTCACACATTTTTATTATTGTTCTTATTTTAATTACTCAAGATCTTAAGTTTATAATTCATACATAGTTTGTTCGGAAGCAAATATTTAATACTTTTTGATTTAATTATTTACTTGTATGTCACTCATTTACTGTTTTGTTGTTTTTCACCAATATATGATTCCATTTTCTTCAATAAAAGTTAACAAAGTAGTTAAACAGCTTGCCAACAATAATAAGAAAACATTAGAAGACCTGCGTGTTCAGACATGATGTATAATCGTGTTAAAGCTTCAGACATGCTTTAGACGGTGCAAAGTAAGTTTTTGCTTTCTTCAAAAAATTATTAGGACGCTTGATTTAAAGAAGCTTCATTTGATGTTCTTCCATGCTTCTTTTTCCATTGTCACATGTCCGGCACAAATTCATAAAACCTTTAAGCACACAATGAATAACTTTAGAGAAATAATTATTGACCTCATTCTGTCACAGGTGTACAGCCGTTAAGGTGTGAACCAAATAGTTTAGACACTGAATAAGAGGAAACATTTTGAGAGAGAAGGAAGTATGTCACAGTTTTTTCCCAGAGGAAATTGCTCAAACATATGTTTCTATCTTCAATATAATGAAAAATTTGCCTTTATCCGTTTGTATAGTTATCCTGAAGCCGAAATTTGTAAAGTTGAATTCCCGCAGTTTATTTCAATAAAATTTGAGAAAGAATTTCACATGACAAGACAATAGAGTAATATCCCTTTATATTATTAGATGTAGTGTTCCTGAACGAGGTAATGCAGATATTAATAAGCTGATTAGGATATGAACTCAAAAGAAAGACAAACAGTATTTTAATAATTTTGTCACTTTGTCTTCTAAACTGAATATACCAAAAAAAGTTTAAAATATTTATTACAAAAATTTTATTTTACCAAACAGGAAAGCCTTACGAGAACTAGCAAGCTAAATAAATTTTGAGGTAATTGAATAACTACATTTTAAGTTGCTGTTTTAAAAGACACAAGCTATATATGATATAAAAACAGCTGCTCCATTTTACCTGCTCAGATAGAGAAGAAAGCTGACCTCTCAGCAATATATTTACTCTTCGCAAAAACAAGAATAATTGCCGTCCAGACGATATTGTTTTTAGGGAGGTGCACTGTGGTATCGAAGTGCCCGGGTTCGAATCTCGGAGACGGCATGGATGATTATAAATGTATAGGGTCTTTGCAGCATGGGGCACTCTGCCTCAAAGATATATGGCGAGCCGAAAGGCCTCTCGTGTAGAATGGTGGTAGGGAAGAGGGATGGACCCTCGGACCACCCGCGGATTGCTCTTCCTCAAAATTGAAGTAGCAATAGAAGTCCAACCTCCTTGAGGCTCTGGCAACACTTCTTCCATGAAATTCATGGAGAAAACAACAAGAAGAAGAATTTTCTCTTTCTAAAAGTTCCCCTTATTTTCAGCAACATATTCAGTTAAACAAAGAGCTCAAGCGGGGTCGGTATTAACCAATTGGGAATCGATGAAATTTTAAAGGGGGGGGTGATTAAGGTGTCGCCTGGGAGTCGAAAGCCGAATATGAATTGATAACTGATGGGCATAATAAAGATCGAATTGATAGAAAAATTATTAGTAAAATTAATAATTGTTTAGTTATAAAACTGCATTAGGTAGTAAGAGAAAAAAATCATAAAATATATGTAAGGTAAAAATATACTAAATTATTTAATATATTTTGAAAATGAATAATATTTTTTAATGTATGGATTTTTTATTCAATAAGGGAAATATGAAAAAGTAAAACTCAAGAGCCAAAGAAAAATAATCTGCGTCAACACATTCAAGCGCCACCATCACATTAATAAAAAAATTCTGGCTTTGTGCAATTAGAGAATCTGGAATTTTAATTTTGAAAACTTGTTTATATTTGTACTATTAAAAATAATAATAAAGCAAAAAATAATCAAACATAAATCTAATAAACCAATTTTCCAAATCTTTCGTTCAGACTGTTTATCTAATTGCTATCTTTAAATAATTCTTGTGCAACTATTTATGATTATGTTGTATATTGTATATTATAGAGAAAAAAGTATGTGGATCGATGACGAAAACCATTCTATTAAAAGTAGTTGGTGCAAGAAGGTGGCAATCAAAGCTAAACTTTCGAAAATGTAAAAAATGAAATTTTATACAACTCAACGTTTCTTAAATTGACTTTTATCTAACTCTGTTGTTATTTTTCTTACCCTCTTCTTTTCCTCTAGATTTTATTTTTTTTTTTTTTACGAAATTCAGCTTTAATTTTAGATGTAACTGTGTGGCAAAATTTATCAAAGCTGCATGGTCTTAAATCCCATAAACATAAATTGAAAATTTCACCCATTTTTTTATTCCTTCTGAAGCAGCTTCTTTGTATCTCACTTTTTCGCATGATGAATTAAAATGTATTACTGTAGAAATAAATTTATGAAATCCGCCAAAATAGAAAGGAATCTCTATATCAGCTGGATAACGCCTGACCACAGACTGCTCGCATCAGCCAACATGTTCTGCAAGGTGTACAGATGCTTTCCTGGCCACCGTCAACTCCTGATCTCTCACCAATCAAATACATTTGGGATGTGATTGGATGCCATTTGCAGATCCTGCCATTACCGCGTTCAAAAGACGAACAGTGGCAAATGGTTGACAAGGAATGGACAGCCATTCCTCCAGATACCATCCCGTAGTCTCATTGGCTCTGTACCTAGACGTATTACACTGTATATAATAATGTAATTTATGAAAATTAATTAACACAAAAACATACGTTACAGCACATAATGAATCGTCAAAATTGAGCTGCTAAAGTTTCAGCACAACTTTACAACAGTACTTAAATGTAAGCTTTGTAAACAATTTTTTAGTTCTTACTTAACACTGATGTAAACAGATCATGTTTACAAAAATGATTTGTAACGTGGGAACATCACGCCTGTTTCTAATGCAATATATAATGTCCTGAAACATGTTGCCTGTACACACTACAATAGATAACATTTTGAAAAATGCACCTGCTCAACTATGTATATCGCAATGTATATCATATAATTTAATGCCTTTTATTTGAGCTAATTTAACGCTGAAAGGTAGGAGTACCGTTGATGCCACCGGCGGTGGCAATACTTGTAGTGCCCGCTGGAGTCACAATTTCCATCACGACTCGAGGAATGATGCCAGAATGTTGTTAGTTTTCTAGTTAGTGTATGGGGTTAATACCTACTTACTTAGGGTAAATATTAGGTGGTCTCCTCACTGCTACATAACATAACAATCTACTTTCTTACCTGCTTGGTCGTACCTTCGGTCAGGAGCCTGCACAGTGGCATATAAACATATAAAATATAACCGTACTGAGCCGATACTGTTTATACTCAGTATTATGTATATAATTTCGAAATAAAGAGCATTTATTGTTCGTTGCTGTCTTTCTCTGTCTGCTGAGTTTCATCACTTTCTGGCCATTTCTTCTTGGTGTTGCATTTTCAATGTCGGGTAGTGTATTTAAAGTGCAGGGTATTATCAAAGTTTGTATTAACATTACTTTACTAAATAGATAAAATAAAATTTTATTAAATAAATTAATTTTATCAAACAGATCTGTTGATGCTATAATAATATCTTATCTTAAAAGTGCTAAACATTGTATGAGTAGACACTGAGGTCAAAACTTACCATCTGAAGCGTAAATATTGTTGAGCATATCGTTCGTACAGCTCGATTGAATCGAAGCTCCAGGTACTGAAAATATAACCAAATTAAATAGATAATTAGAAATACGAGTAATCTATGCATTGCACTGAAATCAAGATCCCAATCATAAACTATGCTGGGAGAAGTACAGTAATAAAACAAAATACTAACACTTTCAAACTATCGTAAAATAGAAAATTTTCAAGTAACTTATATCTCAAATTAAGTATATTTGTTATTGCATTGTATGAAGAAAGTCTGAAGGAAGAGTAGTTGAATTACTTCTGCTTATCACGTGATAAGTAATAGTAGTATCTAATAACGTATTTCATTAAATTCACAACAGTAGCAAATGTAAGAAAGGAGAAGAAGGAAACAAGAAAGCACAATAAAACAGGTAACGAGTGGATAAGTTCTCGAAACACTGGCAATTCGAATTAGATTGGCTTCAAATCCCAGATAACGGCCCAAATGCATGGACTTTTATCTGGTTTTCCCCATATGTAAAACAAATATGGATTACTTTCACCTAAAAAGCCTCCACGAAAGTATCCACCACTTTAGCTAGGTAAATATTAGTGTGTTCTGTCATATTCAGCTAAAAAAGAATAATATAACAACGTTATTAGTCTACAATGACGTACTTACCCAGTGTGTTGTCTATATTTAAAATCCTTCATTGCTTTAAGATTATACCAAGAATTTTTGAGAGAAAGAACATCAGCATTTAAAATTTTGAGTGAAACATTCTCATTATAAATAATCTTAAGGCCACAGAAAAGTTTTTCTGAAGTAGTCTGCGAAAGACACACTGCTGGCCACCGTAAATGCAACACCCTGAAGGAAGCATGCAAATAACATGAAATTTACAACATGCATTAGCGTCGGTGAGATACGCAAATGATTAGAATTTCACCGCAGACGCACATCACGCGCGCCTGTGGCGCCACTTCAAAGCGCTATTTAAGGCTTGGAGTTTTCGACGATTGTGTTTTTCTTGTGGTTTTTTCAAAAAAAAAAAAATCAATTATGCCTCGTAGTAAACAGAGATCATCGTTTGATCAAGTGTCCGAGTTCGACAGAGGAAGGATAGTGGCTTACCGAGAGTGTGGATTTCAGGGAAATCGGTAGTCGTGTTCGACGAAACCAAACAACTGTAATGCGGATATGTGACCGTTGGATGCAGGAGGGTACGACGGACCGACGTGTTCGATCGCATCACCTCAGTGCACCACTTCACGTGATGACAGGAACATTGTGCACATGGCAGTGACGGATCGCTCAGTCACATCACGAACCATAGCACAGCCCATTCAGTCTGTAACGCATCATCCAGTGTCTGCGCGTACCATTCGACGCCGTTTACAGCAGAGTGGTCTGTCCGCAAGACATACATTGCTTCGTCTACCCTTGACGTAAAACCACAGACGTCTCCGCTGCCAATGATGCGATGAAAGAAGGATGTGGATGGCAAAATGGAATGAAATTGTCTTTACTGACGAGTCACGCTTCTGTCTGCAACACCATGGTGGTCGGATTCGAGTCTGGAGACACCGTGGAGAGAGGATGCTGAACAAACTGCGTTATGAACCGCCACGTTGGTCCTGCACCGGGTATTATGGTATGGTCGGTAATGGATATCACTGTCGCATTCCTCTAGTACGCATTGCCGGTACTTTAAACAGCCAGCGCTACATCTCCGAGGTGTTGGAACCAGTTGTCCTTCCTTACCTCCGGGGCTTGCCCAGAGCCATATTCCAACAGGATAATGCGCGACCACACCTGGCACGCATTGTACAAGGGTTCTTCGTCAATCCCCACGTTGAATTGCTTCCCTGGCTGACTCGCTCTCCGGATCTTTCGACGATAGAAACATGTGGTCCATGGTTGCTGAACGATTGACCCAGATTACATCCCAAGCTGCCACACCAAATCAACTTTGGCAACGTGTGGAAGCTTCTTGGTCTGCTGTACCCCAAGAACACATCCAAAGTCCCTTTGAATCAATGCCGAGGCATGTGGCAGCGGTGAACTACAACAATGGCGGCTATTCTGGCTACTGATTCTGGAAGTAACCACACTCCACGGAAGTCTATAAATTTAATCATTTGATACTCGGTCAACATGTTATCTACTAAATAAATTTTGTTGTGATATCTCTTGTCTTTCTTGGTGTTGCAATTTGGGTGGCCAGCAGTGTAATAGGAATTGCTAGTACATTAGAATATTAGAAAATTCTTTCGTCTGTATAATTGAAATTTCTGTTTTAGAGGTAGTATATATGCTTAGGTGACGACTGATCATCCTTTTCTACAGTACTGCTTAGAAAAAAAATTACGTTGATAGTCATCTACGAAAACAATTATCATTAAACGTTTTATTAACCTTGGAAAATTTCACTATTAGCCTGAGGTTCAGCGTGGTAGAGCTGCGGTCAATCAACTTATCAGTTAATAACTGGCAATCGACCGTATCATCCGGACTCACGTCAACACTGTAAATACAGCTGCTCGATGAGCAGTGAAGTGTCGCTATTAAATACAGATTTAGTTTGAATATGCTTTCAATTAACAAATTATACAGAGATGGAAGAGAACCAAATGTTGCGCAACTACTGTTGTAAAATAATAATTCTTACAAGATAATAGAAAATTTCAAATGAATATTGCAATACTACTCTGAAATGCAGATAAACTAAATTAAGCTGAATACTTTTGTTAGTTAAAATTAAATTTTAAACTTAAATATTTAATTATGCACGGCACAGAAAAATATTATTTCATTCGTAGTTCAGTTGTGAGAATAACTGCTGTTTTTCCCCCTTGAGTTGTGAGGATAGCTTTCTGGGAGTAAATATACTTAAATTCTTATTTCCGAAGACAGAGGTTTAAAAAAACACATTTATTTCTAATTTAATTTAATTAAAAGATGTCTCTTATCTAATAATCATAACACACGATTAAAATACGTACATTAGAAACATCCAGCACTTTTTATCAGGGATGCAAATGCGAAAATTGTAATTAAGAGCTTTGAATTTATAATCCAAAAATTAAAGGAATTTTATGATAAAAAAATATTAAAATGCGTCGCTATCAATGCAAAAAATGTCGTTGCCTAGTTTCCAATTTCAGTAAAAAATTGAAAATTAAAAACTAATATTTTGATTATTTTATAGGCTATTGTTTTTATTTTAAGCTTTGCAAGGTAGACAATATTTAGAATCAGTTGTTATTCTTTTATAGTTATTTTCAAATACTGAAACGTGTCAAGAGCATCCGTCTGCCAAAGCAAGAACCTTGCACCAGAAAACTAATCAGTGTTTATATTTAGATGACCCAGACATGATTTCCGATTTGTTTATAATACACGCAATTTCGATAATTGTTTTTAATACCCTAAAGGAAATGAAAAAGAATAATAATTCTATTGCATATTCTATTTCGGGGAAAAACATAAATTTTGCTGTTTTCTAATGTAGCAGAAATTTTGTTACTTTTAAAGCATTTTTAGCATTTAAAATTGAGAGATTAAAAAGAATAAGTTTTACTTAACAAGCTGTTTCGAAATTTTAAGTTCTTTTCATAAAAATTTTAGATCGGCAGAAGCTACTTAAAATTAGTAAAAGATTTTCAAAATATAAGATTAAATATTTCTTTTTATTAAATGAGTTTTTTTATAAATGAAATTCTCATAAGTTTTGGCTTTTAATTAACTATCTGAAATTTTGCGAGTATAAAACAAGTTCTTTCATATGTGACTCAATTACAATATAATATTTTACTCTAGAATATAGTAACATTCAAGAAGAAATTTCAGATGTTCACAGCATAGATAATAAGAACAGCATGTTTCACAGCATAATTCAAAGTAACATTTGTTTACCCTTTAAATAGTTTTTTATGAAATGTATGTTACACTTTTAAATGACCTTTGTTTAAATTTTTTCTTTACAGAAAATAAGTGTTTGTGAGTTTTCATTTAACTCCAGAATTAAAAACTCTTAACATTAAATACAAAATACTAGGACCCGAGTTTGGAAATATCTCACTAAAAATAAAGTTAAAAGTAACTGATGCACGAGTTTTTCCCTTTAATTAAGGAATTAAAAATCGCTGCACAAAAATACAAAATTCTGAGACTCGAATATAAAATTCCGAATGTTCAAAACTAAAATTAGGCATATCAAATCGATCAGTTTCAGTTTTGCATAATTTTAAAAACATTAAATTAACATTTCTAAAAAAACTTTAATATTGCTACGGGAAGCTGCATAATTGTTGATTTGAACTTAATTGAAATTGAATGTAAATGAATTACAAATATCAAATTTCAGATTTGACAATCTTATATGTTCAGTTCAAAGAAACGAAATTCTAGAAACATGGTTCATTCTCTCGAATGATTACGAAACAAAAATGGGATGAATCATTCGCCATTAAGAAGGTTAATAAGAAAAAAGTCTGAATCAAAAAGTAACTGGTGTGCAAAAAACATATTTTTTTAATATTATTTGACTATTTTAGATATTGTCTGATAAAAATGCTTAAAAAAGCAATTATTCACCCAAAATTCCCAACATCTGTTAAGCGAATTTTAGCTGCATATTTAATGAGATATATTTGTTAAAATGTTTTTGCTATGTTGCCTATTTTAGATTCAAAAGGACGATGCGTGACATTTAAAAATTAAGATTGATTATCATGTTGAATCTATCATGATTTTCTTATACTAGGATATATCTCTAATTTCTCAGAAGAGCTTTTCAAACTAAAAAAAACTTCAGTTTTTAAACTTCAGTTTTAATATTTTATCACCTTAGATTCACTCTAAGTTCCAGTAAGGAGCTTGGGAAAAAATGAGTGATGGATTTCACATACAAGAAAGTAGTGGATTTATGATGTTATTTTGAGATGATAAAAATAAAATATTTGTAAACAATAAAATACTTGTAAATGTTTCGCGAGAAACTGCTAGGATTTTCAAGAGGACTAGTGATAAATAATTATTTTTTAGTTACTGTGTAAAAGTTTTATAAGATTATTATT